CAAGAGTAAGGTCCAAGCCGTGGTTGTGATTGAAAGCATTGTAAAGTAAATTAGATAAATGTTAGTGCAGATTAACAAGATTTAATACAAGACTAAAGAAGGTATACCTACGACCTAAATCACCTCGCCCAAATCTAAACGCCTCCATTTCGACTAAGCCTAACGTAGGTTACACAAGGTCTCGATTTGATTAGCGACCGACTCGCCGGCTTAGGTTGGCACTATGACGGATGATTCTACTGTCATTGGCAATTTTTCAATCACAGGATTTATGATGAGGTCTTTTTTATATGCAGCGATCATTAAAACCACATAGCTTATTTTTAAACCAGCCAATAGACCGATTTATGGACCGGCCCTGGACCACGGTCCAGTCCGTGGTCCTCTGGTAGGACTGGTCTTTGGGACCAAGACCAGACCGGAACGGACCGTACCATCCCTATGCATACGGATTGACAAAATTTATAGATTTTTTTAAAAAAAATATTATTTACTTTATATATATATTTAATTGAATAAATTCATAACTAAACATGCCACCGGCATCCTAGGATACACACACTAAGTTAAAATCAAAATACATAACTTAATTATTGCCTATATATTTTGTAATAGCTCAATTTTTTTTTTAATTTAACCAATAGTCCTTCCTGACCTAATAAATTCTTGCCGTTTTTTTTCAATTTCATTAATCGCATCTTCCTCACCATTACATAAAGTTATATCTGCATGCTTGATTTTCTCAAGCGTTTTTACGGCATTTGTAGAAAATCTAGTGGTTGTAATAATGAACCCATAACGGTCATCATAATATTCGTTAAGGACAAAGTATACTCGCTCTATAGTATCAAACCCAACACTCTTTTCTGTACGGTATTTGAAACGAGTGTAAATTTTGAATTCGGGAGTTTCTCTATGATAAGCGATTGTATCTTTATCGTTGTCGGAATAAATTAAATCAATAATGTCGGGATTAGGTTCATTCTCAACCATATAACCTTTTTTTCGAAGTTCAGCTTCAAATTTTTCTTTTAAACGTTTATTTTCTTTGAGAAATTCCGTATGCTAAAAAAAAAAGAAAAAAGATAACATTAATGCATCATGCATCATCAAAGGATTTCAATAATCTTGCAACCTCTCTATCTCTATACAGACGGTTTCGCACAGCGGACAAAGCAAACCAGTCTTACGCAACTCACTCTACCGCAGCGTGACTTGCACCTGAACCTAGCGCCAAACATGCAATACTAAACAAGTACACTCCCCTGACATAAATCACCGGATTTTTCAATTTCGGTGAAGATCATCTGTATGACCTCATC